TTGAAAAAAAAAAAAAAAATGAAGTTACTTTTGCGAGATATCACAAAACCCTTTCTACCCCGTCTACAAACTGCAACAGGGTTTTGCGAAATCTCGCAAAAGTATTACGAGATCTCACAAAGGTTTTGCGATATCTCGCAAAACTTTTTTTTTTTTGTTCAAATAATTTTTTTTTTCTTCTCCATGTCCCCTAGGGGGCTCCGTACAATACAATACTGTTTGAATGACACAACACAAATATTTTTGTCAATACCTTCATGCTAACGTATAACTTATATTACTGAACATTATGCTAATACATATATATTATAACTGTGTTTAATGTGGGACACCTTTTTGTAATTGCTGACAATGTTTTAATGCTTCTTCTATTTTACATGATTTTTGAATGAAAAAATCAGCAGTTGGTTAATGGTAGAATTCATGACATATCAATTATCCAAATGAAAATGCAATTGAAGACACATTTGTTATAGTTCTTTTAGCATGATTGAGAAAAGAGACAGAAATAATCCCGCCCTAACCTCTTACACTGCCACATCCTTTTCGTTTGTGTGCAGAAATACCAGCGGAGGAGGAATTTCTACCTGTGCGCTGTGTTTCACAGTGCATGCATGCTTCAAGTGCCGGGCGAGCCTATCCAGTTTGAGGTCAGCATTGGTAACTATGGTAACAAGCTGGACTCCACCTGCAAGCCCCTGTCATCGACCACCCAGTACAGCTACGCTGTGTTTGATGGTATGAAAAGAAGAAGTCTGCAAGAATAATACCAAAATAAATTACTCAATTTCACAATTTATGGTGTTTTTGTTCAGAAGAATGAACATGCATTACATAATATTTCAACCCTGGTTAATGTCATTACTTATTGAAAGTTAAATAAAATAAATATATATATTATTATTAGAACTTTGCTGTAACAGTGAATAATGTACATTTCTGAAGTTCAAAAGGGCTTGGAGCTCTGAGGGTTAAACTGTTTATCATATTGTAAGTGTGTTTAAACCGGGATTATGGAGCCAATGAGACATGGACTCCACATGTTAGTTAGTGGTCCACTCCAGTACTTGTGTTTAAAATGACTGGGTGTATTTATTTGGTATTCCACAGGTAATCACTACTATTACCTGCCCTGGGCTGACACTAAGCCTGTTGTGATTCTCACTTCATTCTGGGAGGACATCAGTCACCGTCTGGACTCTGCCAATTTACTCCTCTTCATCGCTGAGAGACTGGTGAGAATATGTCACGCACATATTGTTCATGTCTACACAGGCAGTACTTCTCAGTAATATCCTTTTATATGTGTGATTTATTTTAGGAGTCCCACCTTACCGCTTTAAAAACAGCCATCTTAGCCAAAGAGTCTGAAACACGTCTGGCAGAGATTTGGCTCAAACTCATCAACAATATGATTGAGGATCTGAACAGGTAAGACAGGACCAGACAGACCCTGGACCTGTGTGTTGTATCAAGTTATGCTTTATTGCTGCTTATCATAAGGAAAAGAAGTGTGGTCATTGTTTTCATGTCAAATACATTTGCAGGTGGATGTTTTGGTGGAGTTATGAGGTCAATTGTTTTAAGACCTGTCCATACAACTATTATTAACTTTTTGGATGATACTTTTTCCCAGAAACAATTTCAATAAAGAATATTATTATCATTTTAGGACCATTTCAGGCTACTGGTGTAATTTTACAATAGCATCATAATGCATGAAATATGTATGTAGAACAATGTAATGTACATGAAAAATGTAATGTGGAAAAAATTACTAAAAATAATAAACAAATAAAATAAACCGCCCAACATAAAACAATACATTAATTTGACTCTGAGCTATTATAAATATCAAACATTTGGGCAGGGGGTATATGGCCATTCACCCGTAACAATAATAATGGCAATATATTGCCAATCCAGTTATTCAGAGGTTACAACCTTTGTTAACAGAAAGTGCAAAATAACAGCATATTAGCTATACAGTACATTAGATATAAGTAAGAACAACAACACTCTTTATCATGAACCGCATAAACTGCAGACAAAAAGGTCAGCAACGTCAACAATATTGATGCCATGTCCGTTTCCTTTATGATACGTCAATTGTGTTATTATTGGGAAAGGCTCAACTGTTTTACCTTGTTATTTTCTTTAAGCATTAATCTTATTCACCAATTTTTTACAGTTTCCAGCTCCCAGTGCTGGAGGGCCAGCCCAATGTGACTGTACTGGATCTCCAGTTGAAAAAGCTTCGAGACGCTGCTGTGGACGCCATCAGAGAGATGGCCAATCGCATGAAGGGGGAGGCCACGAATGTCAAAGACACTGTTGGTGACATCGAGGACTGGTTGGAAAAAATCAAGCAGCTGGCAGAGGAGGTCAGGAAAAGCATAAATATGAAGTTATGTAAAAAGTAATTGAGACGTTATCCTGTAACTTAAATGTTGTGTGTCTTAATCAGCCTCAGAACAGCATGCCTGATGTGATCATCTGGATGTTAAGAGGAGAGAAGCGAGTGGCTTTTGCTCGAGTCCCAGCAAACCAGATCCTGTACTCTGACTTTAGTGAACAGGCGCGTGGCAAGCACTGTGGACGGACTCAGACCATTTTCATGCAGGTACAGAATAATGTATTTATTTCTAAATTGATATTTTACTGGTAATGTTCAGAAAGAGTGCACACCTTTTGTATTTGTTTCTTTGTCAGTACCCCATGGACAAAAACAAAGGGGAGAAGGTCCCTGTTCAGCTACGGGTCAACATGTGGCTCGGCCTCTCTGCTCATGAGAAGAAGTTCAACAGCTTCTCAGAGGGAAACTTCAGCGTCTATGCTGAAATGGTAAAGTAGCTACACTATAAATAAGCTTTTTTATATACATATACGTTTAATCTGATATCAGTTGTTATCTCTGATTTTTTCCGCAGTATGAGAACCAGGCCCATGTTTTAGGGAAGTGGGGAACTACCGGTCTGGTTGGTCGCCATAAGTTCTCAGATGTGACTGGAAAGGTGAAACTCAAACGAGAACGCTTTCTGCCCCCCCGTGGATGGGATTGGGAGGAGGACTGGTTTGTTGACCCTGAGCGATGGTAAGTCAATGAAACACACCATATCACACACACACACACACACACACACACACACACACACACACACACACACACACACACACACACACACACACACACACACACACACACACACACACACACACGCACACACGCACACACGCACACACGCACACACACACACACATGATGTGCCCATCCCCCCACATTGATCACACCTGGCACACGCAATACATGTTCAGTGTCTATTATTTGTATATTTACTGCAGTTTTTCATTTATACCAGTAGTCTGATACACTGTGTATAGTTTGAAAGGGTGTTAAATGAGATTTGGAGATGATGAATGGTTTTTGTGTTAACGTAATAGCAGTTAAAACAGGACCAGTCAAATTTCACCATGAACACCAAAGTAAGGGGGGGAAAACTAAGACAATAGGAGGGTTAAATGACTGTAAAATGTGGAAGAAGTCGATTTTAGTGTTAGACCTGTAGAGAACTTCAACCGGCTCAGTTAATTACAGCGTTTTGCGTTATTTAGCATGTTATTTTGGTTTAACAGCCAGCAATGTTACTGTTTTGATTCACTTTTCATTCCAGACACAGCAATAGCATATACGATATCTGATTAACGCACAGAACTATACATTCCCAGCAACAAGTCGAACACACAAACCTAGCAACTACCTGTTGAACATTGTGGAACATTTAGCAACCTAACCAGCGTCTGGGTTTATCAATAGCTATACACTACATACATGAATGACATTGGATCTGTGTTGTCTAGAATGGAGAAAAGGTTCAAAGCCCAGCAGAGTTTGAGTGTCCACCTGGATGGAAATGGGAAGATGACTGGAGCTTTGACAGCAACAAGGCTGTGGATGAAAGAGGTAACATCACTAACACTGACATATGTGATTTTCTTTTTAAAACGTTAGATTTAACTTGATCTGTGTGTGTGTGTCTTTTGGCTCTAGGGTGGGAATACGGTGTTACTATTCCTCCCAATGACAAGCCCAAATCCTGGGTCGCAGCTGAGAAGATGTATCATGTCCATCGCAGGAAGAGACTCATAAGACCACGGAAGAAGACATCTGATAAAAAGGCTGTTTCTGAGGTAAGAAAGAGGTAGATGTGGATGAGAAAACGGGGTAGATTTGAGAGATTTTTAAGCTCATTTTTTCTGTCCCTGTCTGTTCCATAGAGGCGAGACCCAGGGGAAGGCTGGGAATACTCTTCCCTGATTGGCTGGAAGTTCCACAGGAAGGAGCGCTCCTCTGACACATTTCGCCGCCGCCGCTGGAGAAGAAAGATGGTTCCCTCAGACTGCATCGGGTCCTCTGCCATCTTCAGGCTGGAAGGGGCATTAGTGAGTCCAGGGAGAAACATGACTAAACATGAGTTCCACATTTCCCCCCCACCAGGCAGTTGTCATGACAACATTTACTTTATGCCATCTGAGTCATATCCTATGATTATTCTCCTGCATGTGCGTGTTCCTGTCCGATGTTGGCAAATCTTTCAGGCAGTTTATTTGAGTTCTGCTTTCTTCCTTTCACAATTTTTCTTAGATTTTGCAGAAATGTTTCCCTTAGAGTGTTCTTTTCAGCACCTCACCCTGTGATTTGTTAACAGGGTGTTGATGTCGACGAGAAGGCCAGTAAAACGGATGCAGCAAAACTATTTGGTGCCAACACACCCACTGTTTCCTGCCACTTTAGCCGTAAGTAGTTGGGTCAGATAAAGTTCATTTCTGGTCACTCTGCTGATTGTTTCTTCAAAGCTCCTGGTGCCAGATAACCTTGAATCAAGAACTAAGTGAAATCTGGATACATCCGCAGTGTGGCAGATGTTCTGTGTGATTAGATTGGTGGTAACGTAGTCATAAATGTTAAACATGCTGAAAATTTTTATCTCCCTTTTAGAGTTTTGCCTCTACCATCTGAGAGTGTACGTGTACCAGGCGAGGAGTCTCTGTGCCATGGACAATGACAGCTTCTCGGGTAAAGTCAAATCCTGGCCTGGACGAATACATGAAATCTACTCAGGATGTAAAATGTTGCTTTAATTCGAAATTCAATTAAACATCACAAACTCCTGGTCCTCCCCAGATCCTTATGCACATGTGTCATTCCTCCATGTGAGTAAGACCACAGAAGTCATAAGGTCCACCCTGAACCCCACATGGGACCAGACTCTCATCTTTGAGGACATTAAGATCTACGGAGACCCACAAACTATTGCCCGCAACCCTCCTGATGTGGTGCTGGAGCTGTGTGACAGTGATCAAGTAGTACGTTGTATATTTTATCTGCCAAATCAAATCACATAAGCATACTAAGTTTTATGCAAAAAGTGCATCTGAGATTCATGTATGATATAATCAGGTGTCACTAAGTGTTTGTGTGTCGTTGCACTTTATTTATAAAGGGTAAAGATGAACCCATGGGTCGCTGTAGGTGCCCCCCTGTGGTGAAGCTGAACCCCAGTGTGGCTCTCAGCCCTAAGCTGCTGTGGTTCCCGGTCAACAAAAAAGGTCGCAATGCCGGAGAGATACTGGTGGCTGCAGAGCTCATACTGAAGAACAAGGTAAAGAAGACACTGAAGAAACTGTTATTAACCTTATAAAACAGTACTTAGTAGCTTATGCTTTTCTTTGCCCTCCAGGGGAATGACGGAGAAATGCCTCTGCTACCTCCTCGCCGGGGGGAGATGCTCTACATGGTTCCCCAGGGAATCAGGCCTGTAGTGCAGCTCACTGCGATCGAGGTACATTACGCCATCATGCTCCTTTGCCAGCACCTATAAATTCCCATCACACACATTTCATGATCAGACAAGATCAGCCCAACCCTGAGATATCTGCTGTGGTTGCATTTCCTACCAATTGTTCCCTTTCCCCCGTACTCTCACCTGTCTTTTACCACTATGGCAGCCTCTAATCTGCCCATGTTAATGTGTTTTTTTTATCCCAGGTCTTGACTTGGGGCTTGAGGAACATGAAGACCTACCAGTTGGCCACAGTCACCTCTCCCAGTTTGATAGTTGAGTGTGGTGGAGTGATTGTGCAAACCGCTGTAATCAAGAACTTCAAAAAGAACCCCAACTTCCCCGGATCTGTGCTGCTCCTCAAAGTGGTACAGACCCTCAAACTCTCTGGAATATATATTCAGACATCTGTAAAAATTGCATGTCTACATTTTCAATATTTTCTCACATGTCTCGTTCTATTGTTTTCTCACCTTAGCTTCTTCCCAAAGAGGAGATGTACACCCCTCCCATCGTGCTGAAGGTAATCGACCACCGGCCTTTTGGCAGGAAACCGGTAGTGGGTCAGTGCACCATCGACTGCCTGGAGCAGTTCCGCTGTGATCCATATCGCATTAACAGTGAAGTCTGCATGTCTGCTAGAGGTACAGTATACACACACATGGCAGACACATACTCATCTCCTTATTTGAGGATTCTTGTTTTAAATGTGTTTGATGGGAGGCATCATTTTGTAACATAAAAAACATGGTTTTTTGCCATGCTGTTTTTCAATTCAAACAAACATTATGTCAACAGTGCAAGAAGAACACTCTTTAAAAAAATAAACAATGCATAAATTAAAAAAAAAAAATATAGAATTCTGATTAAAATAGAAACATTACATACAATAATTAGTTAATTAATTAAATTATATAAAAAATAAAAATAATAATTACAGTAATACTGAAGACAGTAGAGTCTTATTGAATCCTGTTTTAATTGACTTGCAGTGGCTATGATAGCTGCTGCCCAGGGAGATGTTGCCATAGAAATTGATGAGAGACCTATCGTCAAAGCCGAGGTAAGTAATAATGTACTCACTAAAGATATGACAACATTTTCACTACTACGTCTTTCTTTTATTGATAAGTATTCTTTGTTTGCTTCCCACACTATGCAGCTTCACGCAGAAATGGTGAGTTTTTGTTTGTCCTATCACATTTTTAGAGATGTTATCTATCGGCAGATTAAGCGAATCATTATTTCCCCTTGTGTAGGACGAGGAAGCAGTAGACTGGTGGAGTAAGTTCTTTGCCTCTATTGGAGAGAAGGAGAAGTGTGCGCCTTACCTGAAAAAGGGATACGACAAATTACAGGTAAGAACATGTTTTTGCGCATTGCTTAAACACAATAATGATTTGAATCTTTCCCTGAATTCTTGTATGTCATTTTCTTACAGCAAGATATATCTGTGACCAGAAAGTCCTGCTTCTCATTCTTTTCGATAAGAGTTTGGGTATTTAGCTAAAAAAAGATGCTGTACTCCGATACTGAAAAGAGCAGTTAGTAGTTAGTTATTTTAATGAAAGAAATAATACTAATTATTCTGAGTGCTGTTAAAACATGTAACTAAGGTGTGACGTATCGTTAGCTTGAGAGATCACAATATATGAAGTATGACTTAGTTTCTGTTCTTGTGTTGGTTTTCAGGTCTTTAACAGTGAGCTTGAAGAGGTTCAACAGTTCCAGGGACTCACTGATTTCTGCAGCACTTTCAAACTTCAGCGAGGAAAGACCGAGGATGAGGAAGATGACCCCTCTGTGGTGGGAGAGTTCAAGGTAAAGAAGCCCATTGGTACACATGGGTAAACACTGCTTTGGATGCTGTCCAGCTACTTTTCTTAGCCTTTGTCTGCCCTCTGGTGGATAATTTATGAAATGAAACTATTATTTATATCACCTTCTGATTGGTATGTCTGTGAGGGGATATTTAGCTTCAGTATGTAGTACCTCATTGATGTAACAATCTATTGTTACCTTGCTAGGAATATGGTCTGAGGTTCCTGTGTGAATGTTATGAGCTTGTATAAGAGAGGTTATAGGACTAACAGGGCTGTCTTATATGTATATACAGGGCTCATTCAAGATTTACCCACTGTCGGATGACCCAGGGGTGCCAGCTCCACCCCGCCAGTTCAAAGAGCTTCCTGAGAGCGGACCGCAGGGCTGCCTTGTTAGAATTTATGTGGTGCGCTGTCTTGACCTGCAGCCTAAGGACACAAATGGCTTGGTGAGTATTAAATAAAGCTGCAACTAAACCACCATCTTGGTATAGTTACAAATAATTGAGTCACAACAGTGCTCTAGATGTATGAAGATGAAAGATCACTAAAGTTACTTTTTTTGTATTCTCATTTTTCAGTGCGACCCATACATTAAGCTATCACTGGGAGGGAAAACACTGGATGACAGAGATCACTGCAAACCAAACACCCTTCACCCAGAGTTTGGGAGGTGAGACAGCAATGAGTTCATCTTACTGACATTTTGTACATTTTGTATTTGTTCAAATGATTGCTGCCAGTTTGAAGTTAGTCTAAGAACAGAAAGAAGCAGGCTATGCATAATTTGTCGTACATTTTTTACCAGGATGTTTGAGATGTCCTGTTTCATGCCTCAAGACAAGGACCTGAAGATTGCTGTGTATGACCGTGACTTACTGAGCAGAGATGAAAAAGTGGGTGAGACGGTCATCGATTTGGAGAACAGACTCCTGTCTCGTTTCAGGCCCTGCTGTGGCCTGCCTCAGACCTACTGTGTGTAAGTATGTGCTGCTACAGTACAGCATCTGCAGTACAGTGGATGTATCAGACGTCGGCCAGGGAATTCTTTGATTTATTTTTGTTTCTTGAAGACAAAGCCATAACATCTATAATGTTGTTGCAGCTCAGGGATCAATCAGTGGAGAGACCAGCTGAAGCCGTCGCAGATCCTGCAGAACGTGGCCAGAGTGAGAGGCGTCCCTCCTCCACGCATCGAGGGAGATGGAAGCTCGCTCTCTTTCTCAGGAAAAGAATACCACCTGCACGATTTCGGTACTGCCATTGTCAAATACCTTAGAATTATACTGATATATCAATGACTACGTTTTGATATAGAAAATATCTGAGCAGAATGCTTTCCAACTAGTATGAAAGTACGCTGGAGTTGTATCTTGGCCTAAATATGAACCTGTATCTACAAAAGCACTGGGTTTCAAAGTCTAAGACTGGGCTTACCCTCAAACAAGTGAGTTAGTTTACTTCCTCAGTTTGCTGTAGTGCTGAATGCATATGGAACCACGTTATTTGATCCTTTAGACACTCAAAAATAATAATTAGGCCAGAAAACAAACAAAATGAATGATTTTGCACAGTTTTGAGTGCTGTGCAAAATCATTCATTAGTTTGTAACTGTAGCAAATTACAAACATTGAAGCTATTCTACCTTACTGTATGTGATTTTCTTTTAGCCATAGTAACAACAAATTACATGTGTTCACTTCCATTCTCTGAGGCTCCCTTGAAACAGTTTGTAGTCCGCCTCACACTTTTGACCTTTGTTATACTTTACACTATCCTTTCTTTCTTGACCTTTGTGATGTGATGTGCACTTTGCAGAGGCAAACACTGCGATCCATCCACACTTAGGCCCAGCCAGAGAGAGGCTGGCCCTGCATGTACTCCGAGACCAGGGCTTGGCACCGGAGCACGTGGAGACCAGAACCCTGTACAGCTCCTACCAACCCAACCTGTCTCAGGTTAAAACATCCCAAATAACACTACATACATATTTTTTTTAATTAGAGGTAGCAAAGATATATAGTCATATATAATGCTTTTTAGAATAAACATTTTAACGTTGTTTGTTTTTCCTAACTACAGGGACAGATTCAAATGTGGGTGGACATTTTCCCCAAGAGCCTTGGTTTGCCAGGTCCTCCATGTGATATCACTCCACGCAAAGCCAAGAAGTAAGGAACACTTGACTAAATATTGATTTATAAAAATCAATTTAAGGATAAAATATAACAATATTATTTTTAACAGGTATATGTTGCGAGCCATCATTTGGAACACAACAGATGTTACTCTGGACGAGACAAGCATAACTGGAGATAAAATGAGTGACATCTACGTTAAAGGGTAAATTACACGCAATACCCTATCCCTTCATTTATTTATACTTTTACCACCTACTGGACTCATGTACAAGTAGCTTATCTGAATTCAACATTGCCATGTTTTTTAGATGGATGCTGGGTATGGAAGACAACAAGCAGAAGACTGATGTACACTACAGATCCCTGGATGGGGATGGAAATTTCAACTGGAGGTATATCTTTGAGTTTGACTACCTGCCTGCAGAACAGTTGTGCGTGGTCTCGAAGAAAGTGAGTAAGATACTGGAGCAGGAAAAAAGCATCAAATGATTGTTGTGTCATATTTATATATTATTATTGTGTGCTGATGCAGGTAATTGTGTAAATAAAGTGTTTGCGTTTTTACAGGAACACTTTTGGAATCTGGACAAAACTGAAATTAGGATTCCTCCTAAATTGATCGTCCAGATATGGGACAATGACAAATTCTCCATGGATGACTACTTAGGTTAGCATTATGATTAACCCCACACAGAGGGAGGCCTAGATAGAGATGTACAAACGAGCGATAAAGGACTAATTATAACTTCCCATTAATATTTCTGTTACAGGTTCACTTGAACTGGATCTACTTAATCTGATCTCTCCTGCTAAGAGCCCAGAAAAGTGCAGCCTGAAGATGCTGCCTGGTATGGCAGGCTCAGTCTCCACGAAAAAAACCCTGCCCAACTCACTCTTCTCCCAGAAGTCTGTACGAGGCTGGTGGCCATGTGCTATCGAGCAGGATGGGAAACATGTGCTTGGTGTATGTTTATGTCCTTGGCACATTCCATAGTAAAAAAAAAATCCTGGATACTTTTTAAGATTTTGTTTTCAAACTCCACAGGGGAAGGTAGAGATGACACTGGAAATAGTGGAGGGGAAGGAGATTGAGGAGAGACCTGCTGGGAAAGGCCGAGATGAACCAAACATGAGTCCCAAACTGGATCCACCCAAGTAATAAATCAGAGTCCTTTAAACATAAATAAATTATGGGTTTGTTGTTCTATGAATTGTTTAATGTTAACTAATGTTGCTGTCGTTCTCCATTCAACAGCCGGCCTGACACGTCATTCTTCTGGTTTATAAACCCTTGCAAGACCATGAAGTTCATCGTTTGGCGCAGATTCAAATGTATTTTCATTGCAGCGATTCTTCTTCTGCTGGTTTTGTTGTTCCTTGGGATCCTGTTCTACTCCCTTCCTGTAAGATTTCTTAGTTTACTAACTGATTTACTGATTTGAATAATTCTCAAATTTAAATCATATTTTTTTCCCCATCAAACATCATTCCTATGTATTTTTTATTCTGATAGACTTAAATATGTTTTATATATCCACAGAACTACATCTCAATGAAGATCGTGAAGCCTTTCGCCTAAGGAGCACTGCAGAGAAGCTGTCCGTCTCGCTGCTGCAGAAACCACAGTCCTATTTACTGTCACTGACCCTCAGAAATATCCACTTACGCAGCATGATATCTAGCATTTTACTCACACATAACCACAACCAATGTATTTGCACTCTCATTATTGCTTACAGTATTTTTGTTTGTGTTGCCAATCATTTCTCTTGTTCACATTTAGACCAAAAAACCCCCCAATAATGTCTATAATTATGTATTTTTAATAAACTCTGTTTTAAACAAATTGTTAATATTTTGTTATATTTTGCACACATTTGCAATGAATGAAGCTATTTGGAAATGATCTAACTCACTGTATAAGAATATTAATATAGGAAATTCCAATACTGTTATCAACATTAAGTAAGTAATATCAAAACTAAGTAAACATTTTGTTTGTATTAGGTTATTTAGATATCAACATTGTAGTTCACCAGACCTAATTAAAATAGTCCAAAGACATTCCTCTGTATTGCAAAATGTTACATGTTGCAATAAAGAGAACATGGAATAGCAACCAAAAAAAAAATGCTCAGTAAAAAATTATTAATCTCAACGTGTAGAGATAGATACCCCAAAAGTAATCAAATCTAATTAATTTGTACCTATTGTGGCTATTTGTTCTTACTTTTCTCTACTACATGACATCAATATTTACTTAACGGTAAAGCCAGTTGCTAGGATACCGACTCGTGATCCCGCCTCTTGCTCCATGAAACATGTCCTGATTGGTCGTGATGCTCCTGCCGTAAAGGTGCAGAAGCTGCCTGGAACAACGAAGTGAAAGTAAACCAAAAACCGGATCTAAACATTTGGAGTGTTATGTGGTCCGGGAGAAGTGGCTGGAGATTATAATAAATACATAATTATGTATAGCTTCTAACACAAGGAGCGGAATGCATGTGAGTTGTATCTCTTTGTTTTACTGGACCCACTACTGCTAGCTTGATCAGGTTGAATTGCGTTAGCACTACAGCTAATCTATAGCCAATCAAAGCTAAGTTAGCTAAAGGTGACTTGTTTTTTTGTTCTGTAAAATTTGTTTGCTTCGACGTTGTAAGATACTAACCAGATCCATTGTAAAGAAACCAATAATAGCCAAATAACTACTTTTAACAGTGACGGTTATGTTGAAAGCATACTGTTGTTTATGGTTGGTTAGCTAGCTAATTGTAGCAGTGTTTTCTTAGCGTTTAAACAAAATGACTGTCAGACAACTGAAGATTTAGGCTAAAGGCTAAATGGTCGCAGAGATTAAGATATAAAGGTGGGACAACAACTCTCCTCATAACCTGAGAAAGTGGAGCAAACACACAAACGAACTCACCGCCTTAAGTTTTCCCTGCTGTTCGTACCAACGGTTTAAGTGTAGCTTCCGTCTGAAACCAGACTGTTTGGCTCTATGTGAGGTTCGTTTAGACCTGAAAATTGGCAGTATATAGCTATATCCTAGTTTTTGCATGCATGTCTAAAGCTTGTCAACCTGAGTTATTTTCTTTCTCAAGCAGCTATTGAGATCTATAATTCGTCTTGTCTGACCTGTCGAATATGGACGAAGGGATGGATTCTCAAACAAGGTAAGGATTAGTTAAGATAAGGATCTATGTGTGTTCAAGCTTTTCATTCTAGGCTGAACACATGCTAATGCCTTGTATGATTTTCACTAAGTATGTTTTTAAGTAGGAAAATGGATATGCACCGAATGTACTTTAAATTCTTGAAAAGGGAAGTTGCATCATTTAGTATACATATTGTAAATTGAGTTTGCTAAAAAGACCCAAGACCTTGTCTCACCTTGTCTCACTTTGTTATCTCTCTGTCCTGCTGCAGTGTGACTGCTGAAGTCCAACCAGAGGGTCCTAAGAATGATGTCCCAAACACAAACTTAACAGATGGAAAAGATGAACTATTTTGTGGACCACAAAAGACTGACACTTCAAAAGACTGTGCACAAATGGAGAACTCGCAAGATGGCGTAGCATCTCAGACTTCAATGGACTGTGGCTCAGCAAGTGGGCTCGATGAATCCACCCCTGTAGACAGCGGGTGTCACTCAACTCAATCGCACTGTTGTGATGAACAGAAATCTAAGAGGTCCACCTCACCTGGTCCTCACCCGGTTAAAACAACCTGTGTTGCTGCACACTCACCAAATCCAAAACTCACCCTCCCTCTTAGTAGTAGTCCCATGAAAGGTGTCAGTACACCAAGTGATGTTGAGATGCTGAGCCCAAATAGCCCTATCTGTAAAACCATGCTTGTCGACAGCTCTGCAGAGAAGCTTCACGATGGCAGTGCTTGTGCAGAGGACTCTAGCTCCGTGAAAGAATCGCAGCAGTGTGTCAAAGACTCTGATTCTGAATGTTCTGTCAAGGAAAACCCCAATCCGGTTTCCACTGGAACTGAGGATGCTGAGATAGCCGAGTACAGTGGCTCATCTGACATGAGCCAGGATTTAGCTGAAAGCCAGTCAGGTGATCTTTCCGAAAGGTACTTCTATTTATTACCTTTTTTATTTTTCTGATTAGTGAATCACCTTTCCTGTTGTGTCCTCGCTCTGCTGTGCTCACAATGTCCTTTACTAATTGTGTGTGGTATACTGACCTGTTCTCTTTTTGTTATTCACAGTGTGTCATTGGCATTTCCAAACATGGACAAGCAATGGATGGGGACACCCATAGATGAGCTGAACAGAATGCCCCAGTGTGCCCCCCCTCTGTCTCACCTAAAAGCAGTACCTGACCACACAGTCACAATCAGGGTGAGGAAACAGCCACTTGTATTATCTTTGTTCTTTGTTTGTGGTATGTTGTGAAGAATACTGCAGTCATAAAATAAGTACATGCATGTCTGACTGGTCATTGTGTGCATTTGGTGTTTTAATAAGAGATAACAAGATAGGGAAACATGGAAGTGAGAGTGAAACCTTCCTCCATTATCCCCTCAGGGCTCCCTGTCAGTAAAGCTCCTATCACACTGTGTCCTCCACTGCATGTCCCAAAGGAACACTGTCTCATGGCTCTGTAGCTACTTCGTGCCTTACTATCAACCTATCACTGCCACCCAAGCTAGATTCTCTCCATTACCTCTTATATCACAAGAATGCTGGCATTTCTTATTAATGTTTTAAGAAAATCACATCTCTACATTAAAATCCGGACACCTAATTGTCAGTTGTTTAGTCAGCCAGCAAAGGTACATATCATTTTAAGTAAAAACAAGTGTCAAACTTAAATTACCATTGTTTATGCATTTAGGTTTGCATAAACAATAATGAAATAATTAACAGGGCAAAGTGACTGACCTCTTAATTTCACATCTACAATATCTATGTTCATATTCATGCATTCTATTTTAGTGATTATTAGAACTGTACATATTAGTATCATATATATATCAATTGTCTTGCTTTGTTTGTGAAATGTGTATCTCATGATTGATAGCTCGACTTCTACTGCAAACTGCATCTATCTACAAGTACAAATAAAGTAACCTAAACCTTAACGCCATAAGATTGAGAAGATTTTTTGTGTTTTTATATAAACTTTTTTTTATATTTTGTTTTTCTCTTACATTTTGTTTCCGTTTCAGACGGATCTCCTCAGAGAGGGAGAGGTCCCTGCTTCATACCCCAGCAAGTTCAAAGATGTGTGGGATGATGTGTCCGTGAAGATGCCCTGCTCTGAGAAGAATCTGTTTCCTATGGATGCTGAGGTATTAATGTCCATCACAGCTGTGCAGGGTTTTTAAAACATTCCAGTCAGTGTACCTACTCGATGAATGTTGTAATCAAATCAAGTGTAATTTGTTATCTCATGTAGGGTGGAGCTCGTGTCCAAAGTCGGTGGGAGCTGATCCAAACTGCCTTACATGGAGGGTTCAAGAGCTCTCTGGATGTGAGGGTAAGACAACTGTGCTGAGCTGGATGCTGCGGAGTTAGGCTGAACATCCTCTGTGTCTGCACTTAAACAGGTTGATATGCTAAGTTACTTTTATCCATACTTTTGAAGTCTTCACTGAAACACCAAAGGTAAGGAAAGAGGCTAACTGCCTCTCCTTGCCACTCTATATGTTGGCAAACATCCTCCTTATGCATTTAATCCCTCATTATCTGATAAGAAGTAGAAGCGTTGGCTCCAGCAGTCACACACCTTTGTTCTGTCTCCTCCAACTCTCCATGATCACATACTATGTGTTCTATTAAAGCTGAACTTTAGTCACTGCAGTGATAAGTGACTGCAGAGAGAGATATGGGTGACATAAAGACGAATAGTAGATGGAGAGTAATACAGTGAGGACACAATATCATTTCAAAACTATCTTTTATATGTAGGCTTTGTTTTAATTGTAATTTTGTTTTAATTTGATTTAATGTTTATTTAAATAGGGACAGGCACGTGCATTTACCAAAACTATATGGAAGAAGTGCTATGTTATTATTTCAATTTCACGAGTTACATACAGATACGGATACATATACAGAATCTATTCCATTAACAACCACATGGTGGCAGACTTTGCAACAAATGTTCACCATGTGTTAAGAGAAGCCTTGTAACCTGACAACTGCTGGTCATTTCTGCCAGATAGTTTCTTCTTTGGATAAATAACTGAATAAAATATGACTAATGAACAGTTTTTCTCGTTTACAGGATGCTATATTGAGATACAACATAGCCCATGTAAAGAAATGGGACTTCACTGCGCTCAACCTTCTTTGCACAGAGGTAAGCTTTCAAAACATGACTGTTAACTGCTTTTCGGGGTCTCTTACACAAAACAATAAGTGGGAGGATTAAAAAGGTTTCCCTACAGCCTGCTGATCATAATGTATTGCCAACACATTTGTATAAAATGCATCTTTGCTGAACATGAAGCATATTGAATTAGAATACATTCTGAAGGTGGGAAAACATTGTTATAGTTGATAATTTGCTATTAAACAGGCTTTCATATGTGTCTTTTAAGAAAATTGACGTATAAATGAACACCTCTTCAGTGAAATGCAGCTCATTGTGTATCACCGCTCTGAAATGTAGCCCCTGTGAAATATTCTGGAGGTTTTGTTTAACTTAACATGATTTTA